ATCTCCTTAAAAGCCAATTGGAATGCACAATCTAGTATTTGCTTTTACCTCTGAGCAGAGTGCATTGAAAGTAAAGTGGTGAATGAAAAGAATGAATTGATAAGTAACATGTCTGCTCAAAAAACAGTATCACAAGAGAACGGCGAGTGTGAAATAAAGGATAATAATGCAATACACCATTGTACCATCAGTGATTGTAGGTTATGACTGAATAATTGCATTATTATCCTTTGAGAAACTAGGTGTTTTAATAACAAGTCGTTGTAAATGACGCATTCTCTGTTGCAATTATTGGAAACTATATTCATGCCAAAGAAAAAGTAATCAAAAATCAAGATGGCCGCCATTATTTTTCTGATTACAAATTATTGCTACATGCATAATATATTCAAGCAAATTGGATATGAAATCAATGGTCATGTGACCAGGTAAATTGTTCTTGAATGAATTTGCAGTGTATGGTCAGTAATTGGGAATGAATACAAGACTAATCTAGAATCAACAAAATCCAGATTTACTGTGGAACACTTTATTTTCGCTGGAATTAATTTTCGCTGAAAAGGCTTTTTGGGCGTTTTGTATGGAACTTATTTTCACTGATTTTTGATGAATTTAATGTGAAATATAGGAAAAAAAAGTATATTCGCTGGATTTTATTTTCACGGAATCATCCATTCAGCGAAAATAGCGAAAATAAATTCCAAGCGAAAATAAAGTATTCTACAGTATTAAACGACTTCTGAATTTGCAATCTAATCACAAACTATTTTCTAATTCTTATATTTATGCAATTTTTGTATACAAACACAAGTGAAGTGCATGCCTCCCTCCCTCCAGTATCATAAGCATGTGTAAGTATTTGTTATTGAGTTACCCAATGATACCGAAAATCACGATTGTTTAGGGGTGGGCACTTACCCGAGCACCCCCCTCGAAAAAGAGTGCAAATGAAAAATTTGATTCATCAAGTGACAGATTACGTCTTTGAGGGAAATCAAATTACGAAATTAGTTGAGTCGTCATTGATTTTCACAACGAAGAAACAGAAATGATCACAAACAAGCAGCCTATCGGCTGAGATAGCTCCGCTGTTAACAATGCACATTTCAATTAAAGAACTGAAGACATCATCAGAAAATGAACAATATGTATAGTATCAAAGCAATCGGACTTACAGTTTTTAACAAGAAGTCGAAAATATCACTTTCTACCAAAAATGACTAAAATATTCACCAAAATTAGAGAATTGAAGATATCATCACGAAATGAACAAATCTGAGAAAGGTCTACATGTAGTATCTATATATGTAATATCAAAGCAATTGAACTTTTGGTTTTTAACAAGAAGTCGAAAATATCACTTTTTACCAAAAATTACAAAAATATTCACCAAAATTAGAGAATTGAAGATATCATCACAA